GAAGGGACCCCGAGGGAGCCTCCTGATTGTCCCTGGCACGGCAGCCTGCAGCCCCGGGCAAAGACCTGGCCGCTGGGGAGGGATCCAGGCTCAGAGCAGAGGAAATGGTGTGCCGGGGCGAACCGCAGAAGCACAACTCCTTTCCTCTCCTAACCAGATTAATGTCTCGATTATGGGAAGAGAAAAAGGAAAAAAATCTATGAAAAGTCATTTAAAAAGGGCGGCCGGAGAGTCGATGAGCAGCTTGCAGAGCAGGGTGTAGCGGGCAGGAGCCAGACCTCGCAGAGCGGGGCTGTGAGCAGCGACAGCAAAGTTTGGGAGTTTTATTGGAGGGGAGAGGGGTGCATGTAGGATGGGGAGAAGAGAGACTGTCTGACCTGCATTCCCTCCATGGGCAGCATCAGCCCGTTAGATCTGCCTGGTGGCTGCTGCAGAGACTCTCATGTGCCTGGCATGCGCTGTCAGGGGGCACGAGGGGGAATAGGGGGAGCTGGTGCTGGTGTGGGAGAGCGGGGCGTTAGCTGAGTTTGTACATGTCCCCCTTGCTCAAGTAGGCAAGCTGGCTGCTGGGGCTTGTATGCCTTCCCCGGATTTGGGAGCTTTAGGGCTCGAGGAGATCATGAAGTGAGAATAGGAAGAGTCAAGACAACAACCAAGACATTGGGGAGAAGATCCAGGCTGGGAGAAACTCCAGCGAGCTGGGACTGGTCATCAGGTGCCATAAACATGTATCTGGGAGCTGGGGCTGTGGGCTGGGAAAATAGAGAAGTTTTTGCCTATAGGTAACCTGGATTGCCCCAAACTAAGACTTTTTGGAAATTCTGGGTTCTTTACAGGTAAGGAGGGATCAGTAGGTGTGAAGGGAGGCAGAAGGGGGCTGCAGGTATGCTGCTGATGGGCTTGTTCCTGGGGTGAGCAGGACTCTAGATAAAGCCGAGGAAGTGAGATGATGAGGGTTTCTCTCTTGCTTTTGCAGGTTGTTTGACTTGGACCCTGACCTGTTGCCCCTTTTCCAGTACAACTGCAAACAGTTTGCCAGCCCTCAGGAGTGCCTCTCTGCCCCCGAGTTCCTGGATCACATCAGGAAGGTGAGAGAGGGACTGTGGCATGGCTGGAGCGCAGCCTCCATGGTGGAGGAAGCCCTTAGGCAATGGCTTGGGACTGTGGGGTATCTGACTGGGGAACGCATGGGAAGTCTCCTTCTGAGATGGTAAATGCAGGGGTTTACTCACGCTAGCAGAAGGTGCTATTGCCAGGACAAAGTGCCCTATGACAGTGGGGAGGGGATGAGGATGTGGGCTGTGGTGGGTAAGAAGCACCATGCTGATTTTCACACCCTCATCTGAGAGCGGATTGCTTCTTGTGAAAGTTGGAAGCCCCCTTCTTCTGCCACGGCAGTGCCTCAGTGAGCTCACTTCTGTTCAGACGAGGACTGAAGCCCTCTGCTTGGCCACTTGCTGACCAGGAGGTGGCACAGAGCTGGGCAGTGGGCCAGGCTCCTGTGGAGCCACTGCTGTGGGGAGGCTGTTGGTGCGGCTGCAGAGCCAGAAGGCCCACAGCATCTCTTGGATAGCCTCTGGGGGAGTGCTGTGACCCGAAACAGGGAGAGGAGCAATGCTGATGTCATCTGGAGGAGCTCCTGCATGGACAGAACTACACCTGGTCAGCAGAGACCCTTTGCTGAGCCCTGAAGAGTGGCCATGCCGGGGCAGAGCACAGCCTTGGCTTGCAGATGCCTTCATAAACTGTCTGGCTCCATCTCTAAACCAGTCTGGTGCCTCTCTTGCCCGTCTTTATTCCTTGTAAGAGGCTGTTTCAGGATAGCTGCGCTGCTCTGATAGCTGCAAGCTTTTTGTTATTTTCCAGCCTCTGTTTATTGGCAAAGTTAAGTCCAATTTTACTTCTGTTATTATTGCCTTGAGCTGAAATAGCTCTTTGCTCTTGCTGAAGATAATTTTCCTGTTGAAATTATAGTGCACAATCCTATCACCTCTTGGCTTTGCTAAGCTAATCGTGCCCTGGTTTTAGTCTCTTCTTCTAATTTGGTGTATCTGTTCCCTTCATCCCTCATTAACCCTTCTCTGTCCTGTTTCCATTTGACTCTTCACGCTCCTGGGAGACCATGGTGATAGGTGCTTTACCAGACCAGGTCTCTTGGCAGCATTGTCTACCCCATCTCCTCGAAATACCTTGGTTGATCTCAGACTTTGAGTTGTTATATTCACAATTGCATCATCTTGGCAACTTCTAGTTGGATATTCTAGTCCTGGCAACTTCCAGGGCTCCCCTGCAGTTGTCCTGGGGTTCTAAGAGTTATAATGACTGCATCAGCGTTAGATCTTAGCCTGTAACTGCTCTGCTATAGGGCTGGTTACCCCCTCTGGGACAGGGAGGTCAGCAGTGCTGCTTGCTGTGGCACCTCTGGCAGTGTCCCATGGAAGGATGTGGTGTGTGCTGCTGCCAGCGTGCCTCACTGATGTGACACACAGATCTCAGTAGAGCAAAGGAAAGCTCAGAGGGTGTCTGCAGGGCTGGGAGGTGGTCAGGCTGAGAAGGGTGAAGTGGAGGAGTCAGGCTCTTGGTTTCTCTGGGAGGGCATCAGAGCCTTGCTGTTGATGCCGTCCTGCCTCTGTGCCCCTGCAGGTAATGCTGGTGATTGATGCCGCTGTGAGCCACCTGGAGAACTTGTCCTGTCTGGAAGAGTATCTCTGCAACCTCGGCAAGAAGCACCAGGCAGTTGGTGTGAAGGTTGAGTCTTTCTCGGTGAGGCATCCTCTCTTGTCCCACTGCACCTGTGTTTGTGCAGCCCTGCCCTCAGCCCTCGGCTGTCCCCATCCCTCTGTGCCCACCTGCTGGGTTCAGCTGGCTGGGGAGAAAGCTGGTGACTCAGGGCAGCCCCCGAGCTGCTGATACCTGCATAGTGATATTGGCTCCCTTAGGGGAACCCTTGAGCTCCCCTCATTTTCTGCCCTCCCCCAGTAAGCCCAGGGAGAAAGGACAGAGGAGAGCAAGATATTTACCCTGGGCCCTGGATCTCTGCATCAAATGCTCTGGGCAAACTTCACTGCACTGAGAGACTCAGTGTCTGTGCTGTGATGGGGTTGCTGCACCTCAGCCCCTGCTTCCTCCATGGCAGTAAGACAGGAGTATCGTCTGTATTAAACCCTTGCTCACTCCTCCTCTGCCATCAAGCATGGACAGAAATGCTGGATAGTGTGGCAGGAAAGGGCCGGCTGAAGGAAAGTTTTCTAACCAGCTCATGTCTCCCTCCTGACACCGCTAGCTTTGGTCCTCTTCAGAGGGAGCACGGTCCCCTTTGCTTGGGGTGGTGATCCCCACCAGCCCTGTGCTCAGTGTGTGGGTGCTCCTGGATGGAGCTGATCACAGCTCTGTGAGGAGCAGTGCCCTGTGAAGAGGTCTGAGGGGCGGCAAGGGCGTCCAGCCTGGGGTCTGACCCACTCTCCTGACATCGCTCAGCTCTGCTGATCCTTGTATGCCAGGGGACGGGGCTGGCTACCTGCACCTGGGAGCTGTTGAGGATGGATGTGTTCCTCTCCCGTGGTGTTACATGCACGGTGTCAGCCCGTGCTCCCTGCCTGCACTCCCTGCTCACCCGGGGTGTGGGGTGAGGGCCAGCATAGGGCAGGGGAAGGGGATACCATGGGCTGGCTCTGGGCCCCTCTGAGCAGCCAGGGATAGGGTGGCCTGGCCCCACTGGTGGAAGAGGAGCAGCTGCCCTGCAATGGGAGAAGCCCAAAAAGGTGATGAAGCAAGAGAAGGGGCTCTGTGTTGTCCCCCAGTGCTGAGCTTGACACCTCCCTGTTTGGTTTGCAGACTGTCGGCGAGTCCTTGCTGTACATGCTGGAGAAATGCCTTGGCACTGCCTTCAGCCCAGACATGCAGGAGGCTTGGAGCAAACTCTACAGTGCTGTGGTGAAAGCCATGCAACGTGGCTGGGAGACCCTCCCAGAAGGGGACTAGATCCTGCCAGCCACCCCCATCCCTGACCACTCAGTGGTCCTGGGCAGGGGGAGCACTCATGCCACACTCTCTGCCTCTCTCCACTTCTGTCTTTGTGCACTGGCCCATCGCTGTCTTCTCCAGCCACACGTGCTTCGGGGCTCTCCCAGTGATTCCACCTTGCTTCGACAGGACCACATCTCTGCCTTTGCTAAGGGCTGGCAGGGTGTGTCTCTGCAGCGAAGCCTAGGAGTGTCGCAGCACAGGTATGCTGCCCTGCCCCACGTTCCTTCGGACTAGATGCAGCACCAACACCCATGTACCTACTCTTCTTTTTAGCTGGCTCATCTTCCCTCCTCTTGCTGCCCACCCTAGTTAGATGACAGCTAGCGTTGGCCTCTCGGGCTTACTTGCCCGAGGTTCTATTTGCCGTGCTGAAGACCTGCCAGGTCTGGTACCGCTCGCTCCTCCCGTGCTGCTGTGCCCAGTTCAGCTGTGGCAGTGGCGGATTTGGCTCCTTCCAGGGGCAGGGGCAGCAGAGGTGGGAGCTGGTCATGCCGTGCGACTGTCCTCCCCAAACCTTGCGAGGAGCTTTTTCCCCTCTCCCTTCACCAACATACCACTACCAGATGGTTAATCCTGGTGCCTCTTCCCTGGATGGGATCCATGGCTTTTCCTTGTGTCAGGTTGGCCAGAACTCGGTGTGTTTCCTAGGGATGCTTCCAGCAGTGGGAGTCACATTAATCCTGAGGTGAGGCTGCTTTTAGCAGTCTGGGCTGCCTGCTGAAGGGCTTTGTGTTGGTTTGGCTGGTTGGTTTAACCTCAGAGCCAGCTGAAATGCAGCATCAGTGGTAGCTCTTTACTGCTTTGTGTTAAGGAGAATAAAGTAAATACAAGGAAAAGATGTCTTAAAATAAAAATGAAGGTTGCAATCATGTCATGGCAACAGCTTCCAGAAATCATTCTGGCTCTTGGCCAGAGGAAGCATAACTGGAATTTCTCTGCTGATGCTGTCAGGACCTGGAGCACTTCCCAGCTGCACACAGGGCCCATCTGCAGAGCTCCTCACCCTTTAGTAATCCCTCCCAGCCATACTTGAGACAGCCGCTTCAGAGCAGAGCGAGGCACCCAGTTAGTGCACACAGCAGTGCTGTGTGAGGACAGGAGTGAGAAGACAGCATCTGCTGGAAGAAATCCCAGGAAATGTCTGAGAGGCAGCACCTGAGGGCTCTGGGGAAGCTGAACTTGAGCACTTTGAAGAATCTTTATGGGGAAGTCACTGTGGGACAGGCAGAACCATGTTTCCAGCCATCACTAGGCCCATGGCAAGGTCATCGACCAGGTATTCGGTTACAGGCAGTGCCCTTTATTGCTGCTTCTTCAGGGCAGGAGGAGCCCGGTGTTGAGGGCTGAGATGGTCCTGTTCTAGAGACATGTTCCTCCTATACTCAGACATTCTCCACTCTGGGTAGGAGAGGGCTGCCTGCTCCTTGCAGCTGCAGCTGACGTCTGTCAGCCCTATGCCATGGAGGAGATGATGGGATGCTCTGTGAGATGGGACTTTGCTTCCCTGCCACCAGGCCTGGTGGTGGCTATGGGCTTCCACCAAGCAAGGAGCCCTCCAGCTGTGTTTGGGAGGGGAGCTGAGGTGTGTTGTGGAACAGGCAGTGAACATCCCCGTGGAGGATGCTTGCTGTCCTCCTCATGGTTCAAGGCTCCGCTCCTGCAGTACTACACCGTGGTGGTGTGCATCTTGGCCCATGGCTCTCCATCAGCTGAGGCAGGTGAGGTCCTCCCCATACTCTTGCCAAGCAGTGAGAGTTGGAGGAGCTGGGGCTGTGGGCAGGCGCTAGCTGTGACGGCACGGTATGGGGCAGGTGGGTTTGGGAATGGGGACATCCTCTTTGCAACTGTTCTGGGTCATCAGCCTTCAGCATCACAGAGGGGACCTTCTGGCTCTGTGTGACAAGTAGGCAGCTGTGTGATGGGTGGGGTGTGGGTGTTACTGCCCCAAACCATCCTCACTCCCTCTAGCTTTCCCAGCTCCTTGACTTCTCCTCTTCTGTACCACGTTTTGTGTAACTCCCAAGAGAACTGAACTAGTCTGTGTGCCTCTTACACCCAGCTGTACTGTTTAATAAAGAACAACAGTGTCGGCCCTTTTTGCTGCCTTATGTTTATTTTAATATAAAAGGCCCAAGCAAGCTAAAAAAAAAGGATGACAGAGCGGTGTTTACTGGTTTCTTGTTGGCTCTAGCTATGGACATATTGGTCACTGGGAGTGCTTGTGTAGTCCAGCTCCACTGACATGAGAAGGCATCCAGCACCAATTGTCTGTTGGGAGCTTTTGTGCTCTGTAATTGAATGGGTGAGCAGCGGAGGGGCTAGCAAAGGCGTCCTGCTGCTGATTGCTCATTACCCTTCAAATTTAACAATCTCTAATGGAATTAGAGTTTTAAGCAATCAGCCTAAAAAAATTCCTTTTCTGTTGTTTAGCTGCTGCTTTTGTTCTTTGAGATAGCATCAGCTCACCCGCTGCTGGTCACCCACTGCTTGTTGTCTGCAGCAGCAGGGCACAGCCTGGCAGCGAAGTCCTGCCTGGCTCCCTGCAGCATCCACCCTTCCAGGCAGGCTGCAGAGCTGCCCCAGCAGCCCTGCCCCAGGGAGCAGCTGGTGGGGATGCAGGAGGTCCTGTCTCCCCTTCCAGGGGCATGTTCTAGCTTTTATCTGGTGGATTTCCAGCCCTGGGAGAGTTGGGCACTTGGCACTGAAGAAGGATGGTCCCTAGAGGGAAGAAGCCAGTTCTGGGTCTGTAATAGCATCTCCTGAGGACTGGAAATCCCATGCCTGCCACAGAAAAGCATGGTGAACGTCCTGGGAAAGCCATGCTGCTTTGCCTTGGGCACTGTTTAGGATGGAGCTTGTTCTGCAGGGACACGTGCGATGGGCTGTGAAGGGTGTGGAGAGCAGCAGAGATCTGAACGCAAAGAAATCCTCCCTGTAGCTCACTGCTAAAATAAACTTCCCAGCTCTTGGCCTGGAGCACAGCTGCCAGCCTCAGGGCTGGCGGGGGGAGCCCGGAGCCCAACCCCAGGGCTGCAGGGAAGGGCCAGCACAGCAGCCCCCAGCAGCACCCCCATCTTTGACTCCCTGGGCCAGCATGGAGATTTGCCACAGCTCCCACCAAGCACCCCTTTGCCTCGGCTGCTGCCTGGCAGGGGTGCTCCCGGCACTGCCCGCCGCCGGCCGGCGCAGGGGGGGCTGCCATGGAATTGCTCGGGCCC